AGATGCAACTTCAGCATCTGAAAACCAACCGTACCTTCAAAAGAGCTTATAAAATCAGCAACTGCGTTTAAAAATCTAACACAGAGGATAGCAATGTAGCCAAAAATATACAGGAAATGTACCTTAGACGAAATACTTGGGGGCTTCCAATCATTGCATATACATCTGCTGCACTGACAATGGATGCTTGAGTCCATCTCTGATAACCCATTAGGTTTTCTCTTTGAACACCATAAGGGAAAAGCATTAGCTCTCCTGATGCTACACTTGAGTTGCCCCATTTTCGAGTCAGATGCTCCAATACTGATGATATCTTCTTTCGAGTACTAAGAGTGAGTTCCAAATGTGGATTGTGTTTATCCTGACAAGAGATGAAGACGGATTATTTCCTTAAGACTGCCCAACTGGTAACACTTGATGCTACATCAAAATCATCAACATAATTTCCTTTTGGCGCTCACCATTTCCAAAGCTCTTCTAGTACTGTCATCAATTGGAAACAGTTGAAGCTTAAGTTTCCCAGCAGAATGTATGTTGCTCTCAACTAAAGGATTTTGAGAGAAAACAGGCAAAGGAGGTTGATTATTTTCAACTGGGTCAAGAATCTTATGCCCTGGAACTGGAGTTGAAAAAATTAGGAGTTCAGGAATTCTCCCATGTTCATAGTAATTTCAATTCCTTCCATCGAAATAATTGATAAATTGATTAAGTTTAATGTCACCTGATGTATCTTGGTCATGTTCAACTTCTTTATCAGTAGTAGTTCTCTCCAAATGCTCAGCAGCATCAGCGACCAAAGAAACCCCAGCAATTGCAGCCTTCTCCCATTTTTTATATGCAGCAGATGAGGAACCTGCCCAGAATTGCACAGCAATACATGTTCAGCTTAATTTTGAATGGAAAACAAGAACATTGAAGGGCGAAAATGCCCATGCTATGCCTTAAAACTTTAGGGATTAATAATATAAGCAAGAACAACAATGAAGACTGTAAAATGAAGGTTGCTATTAGGTAAACCATCAACCATGACATCAACAAGAATGTTTAGTAGAATGGCTCAACATCTATAACATCACAACCGCAATACATAAGAGTAAATAAGAATCTGGAAAACCTTTTTGTGCCACAAGAATTTCGGGAAGTAGTTTATCATCAATTGGGAGCGGGTAGTATTACCTGGTTTCCGTCGTTGCCTTGCAGGTTTCATGGTGTTTGACTCCCCTTTGCTGTTGCTACGATTGACACCTCCATTTGTATTACGCTTAAATGACCCCTTTCCAGGTCCTAATTTTTGAATGTTTTGACTGTCTACAAGAACCAGCTTTACTGTACGACCATCATGTCCCGAAGCCCTACTCTGATTTGTGACAGTGCTAGGAGATGTAGGTGAACTATTCTCCCCTTGAGAGGGTCGTTTTCTTACATTCTTCTTCCGGTCTTTCAAGAGTTGATGCTCCTTCATTGGTAAACAGATCAGTCAGTCCAGCACAAAGCATAAATGTCTTGTTCCATGGAAAGGAAAGCAAACAAGCGAGATATGAGATTCTATTTACTAACCAAAGCTTCTACAAAAATTTTAAATCTTCGAGGTTTCAGATGAAGTTTTGAGGCTCTGCAGCTATACTTTTCCAATAGAGACCACCTGTAAAAGAAGTCATGCAGTTTCGTATAAAAACAAAAATATAATAGGTCAAGTCTCTGGCTCTACTATTATACCATTGTTAGAGCATGATACCACAAAAAAAAATCCTTAATTAAGATTCTAACCCTCATGTTTTACAATGGGGCAAATAACTGAGAGGTTTGAGCCATTTGCCCTTAAATAGATAGGAATTGAAGAGCCAACATGGTTATACACCTAATATTCAAAGGGCATCTACCACTTGCTGGTAAGCAACCTATTTCATTTAAAATGCCTGTCCCAGATGAATAAATCTGCTCTTAATCATGACTCTAGATTGACTTAAAACTTAAATTAGTTAGCAGTCCTGTAATAATGCATCCTCCATGTAATATAAATGAATTTATCCAAATGAGTTTTAAAAGAAAAGGCAATTATTTCCAGAATTACCAGCGAAGCATTGCAGCATTAGTATCTTTAGAGTTTTTGGCATCCAGACACAACCCTGGACCAAGAAGCTTGTTCATGCGCCTCACAAGGCGATAGTAATAATGCCTGACCTGCAAATTTTCAAAAAGAAAAAGACAAATGAAAATATGGACAAGGGCAGGTAGTCTGACTTAAATCAATAGTGAAACAATCAGAAGAAAATCTAGTAGCAATCACCTGATCCTTGTTTTTACTTTGCACACGACATGTAATCTTCTCAAAATTCTGCAATTAGCATATGTCAGGAAACATTATAGAGGAAAAAGCTTAAAGCCAAAGCACATGTAAGAGTGGCATGCCTTCCCAACTTGTCGTAATGCAGTGAAGAAACTCTCTTCCTCTTGACGTGTCCAAGCAGCCCATTGTCGAGTTGGCTTTTTAGCTACAATAGACATTCAATTAATACAATAATTAAAGGCACAACCCACTATTTCCCATAGATGGAGATGGTGCATGGACTGGAACACCTAAGCTAATTATATGGAGAATTACAAGTGCAATCACATACCAGGTTGCTCTGGCACAGCATTATTCGGGGTGGATGCGGCTACACAAGGATCTCCTATCTGAATAGGAATATGTTCTTGATTACAATGTGCCTCAGAGGCTAATGAGACCTGTGACTCTGTCTGCATGTTGGCGGCATCACATGAAAACTAATGCCTCATGCCTCTTTAAATTTGTATAAAATCAAAGGTAGCCCTATTTTTCACAAGGAAAATAAGTTTAAATCATATCATAAAATGAGAAAGGTAAAATAGAAAGGAATGCAAGTGAATATATAATCATAATAAACATTAAACAAGCTCACAAGCATGTGTAAAGGTATGCTTATGCACAAATATCGCCCTTCATAAAGAAAACAATTAAAAGAAGTCCTCTATTGCACTCTCAACAAATACAAGTGATTCTTATTGGAAGATAGAATCATGAATTTCATGGCCAAACTGCATAGAGCCTATCAACGCTACGTAGCTTACAGTTTTCACAAGATCAGCTTCCCATTGTCTCATATTATGCTGTAAATCTTCACATCAACCAAAACATTAAACAATGTTTTCCTTTCAATGAATGGTAAAAACAACTTAATTAACAAGTACAGTGAAGGCAACAATACATGCTGATACAGACTTGACTACAATCTCCTTTTGTTTGCAGCAGTATATTGGCATAATCAAATCATCATATTTGAAGTCTTAAATATTTCTTGGTTTAGGATCACAAATGGTTTGAAACAAGACTTTGAAGCATGCAACTAAATGAACACTAAGCACCCCTGGTATCCTCCAATGTGACTTACATAGTAAATGGGTTTAATGAATAAATAAAGCATATGATTATTCATCTTTTCTTCTTCATCAATTTCTTGGTAATTTCACTTCTTCAAAAACAAACTAAATGCACAACAATATTAATTTAAATTCAACAACAATACAACTGAAAAAAGCATTCAAGTTTATCAGACAATCAATCTTAATATTAGAAGCAACTAAGAATGACATGCCAAACAAAAAAATCTTCTTAACCACACATTATTTATCCTGATAACATTTGAATTTCCTTATACTAACAAACCCTAACACCAACAAATTCTCCCTCCGAATAGGTCCGGTCGACAATCAAATTTAACAAGAAGGAGGAAGCAATACAGCTTTAAAGAATTTGCAAAATTTAACAGAAAGGACGAAAAGAAAAAACACCTTTCTCTAGTTGCTACAAAATGCGAGAAAGCTAAAAGCATCAAATTTTGAAGCTTAATTTGTTTCAATTTGCATGAGATCCCAAAGAGCAAAAATAAAACTAAAGTCAACTGCACGACTAATTGACCAAGTTCCATTTCATTCTTCCACATCAAAACATATTAAACAGAAAAGAGAAAAACCATATAAGAACATGCAATAACTTAAATTTTCTCGACAGCCAAACAAAAGCTAGGGTTACCAACTACAGTAAAAGTTGATCGGCAAAAGCTTAATCACATACCACGAAATAAAAAAAAAAAGAAAGAATATCAATTGAAGTCTAAAAATACCTGGAAAAAAAAAGATTGGGAGGAATCGAAAGAGCTCAGATTTTGAACAAAGAAGAAAAAGCTATTGAAACCGGAAAATCTTCCGACAGACGTTTACGGTTAAGGAGATAGAAAAAAAAATAGAAAGAATTTTTGTTTAATTTTTTTCTTTTTACTTTGCAGAAAAGAAAAAAAAATGTTTTTTTAGTAATTTGAAAGATAAACGAGTAAAAAAAAAAAAACTAATAAAT